TGTACGCTTGAAAAAACTAGTGGAATGTAATTGACGTTGTCACAAAAAAAAATAATATAATTAACTTGTATTATTACAATGTACACCTAAAATTACATAATATATGCGACAAATCGACCACCTGTAGTATCTATACATACATGTCCTTTATTTCAGCGTAGCATTTCGAATTTGATTCTATAGACGATAGACGGCCGACGGTTTGGAGGTATATTAGGCTTATTAATCGCCGTGAGCAGTCACATAAAGGTTCTTAATTGTCAACGTCTTGTCTCACACGGTATTTTCGAAAGAATAATATGCCATGTAGATTTAGCGCTGGCTGAAATATAACTGGCTCTCAGCGGAGAATAGACTGAATGTAAAGCGCACACATCTCTGTTTGAAGCTTAAATCTTGAAGCCACGAAATTAGGCTTTAATAAATTAGCATCATTTTTATACATTGGGACTCGCGCCGTGCTTTTTACCCAATTCGATACATTTGATATGGTCATTGAATGTGATCGTTATTAAGTGAATGCATCCGAAGATGAAGAGCTTTTTGGCCGAGTTGATTTGAACTCATCTCATTACAGAGGTCACATTAACTCATCAATGGAACGGGCGATGAGTCACAATATCGACATTGAAAGTAGTATAAACACGGGGTGATCTACTTAAATTTCGCTATTCGTTCCGATTTCATAGAGCTTACGTCATCGTGCTCACGGCGCAGAGCAAAAGCCTCTTAGCCGTGGGTTTATAATGTTGTAAAGTTTGCGAGCGCGACGCTCAGCGTCATTCATCGATGCGCGAAATCTGGCAATTTTGGCGCGTTTTCGGCATGGTTTACGTGTCGCACAGGCGCGCGGGGGGTAAGAAGATATTTTCGAATTGGCGGATTTTCTCGATGCATTTCTGCATCGCTGAATATGCATGCGCACACATGGCAGCACTTATATACACAAATCGTTTACAGCAGAACAAAATTCTATTTTGAATTGGGCAATCGGATATTGGCTCCCACCACCGGCAGCGACACTTTGTATATGATTTCTAGCAAGCTGTGCATGTCCAGGCCTACCTCGAAGGCACTCAGGCCTTTTATTAGTCAGTCATTGGGTGGTTAGACGAAAACTTAACTAGACGTTTTTAATGAGAAAGCGAAATTTTCGATTTCTTCGACACTCGAAATCAATTCAAGAGTTGTAGGGTGCGAATGTGTAAAGAGAATTTGAGTACATAGTGCGGGTAGGCAATAGTAGAACGGTTCCGAGTCGTGGTAAGTGAACGTTGATTGTTACTTAAAATTCGCCCCGGTGTGATGATTATTGTTCTTTCTTAAATATGTATGACACATCTTCGGATGCATGTGAAATACGTATACAAGTATTTTCTACACGTTACAGCTGTGTATCTTGTTTATTATACTTCTCACGAAATATTTTCATATTTTTAGCATAATAGCTCGCACGGGAGCAAATTTTCAAGATTGATCACTGCTCTTGTTGTTTTTGAGACGCTTCCCGAACGTGGATGTTCACAAAAAATTGGTAATTTTTCATCGAAGCCTTAGGTCCTTTTTATTGACGATGATTATTAAAATGAAGATAATTGCACTAAACGATATTAATTATGATACCATCTGGATACTTCAAGACTTTGTGCCTTTTGTATTGTAAATCTTAATGAATGTACTGATTTTTTCATATGATATTAGAGATCGTCTAATTACTCGTAATTAATTGTGTACTTCTGCACTCGATTATCATTTCTCGAATCAGTTATTTTCAATTCAGACACAAGAATGATAGGTAGATCAGTACATAATTCAATTGCAAATGTCGCAATTTTAAGTAACAGCAATTTTATTTTCTTCGTCTAACTTTGAGCACCACAACTCTATCTATTTTTGGGGCCAATTTGCAAGTTTTTCCAAAATGTTCTCTTACTTTCTAACATTTTCGATTTTTAATACATTGAGAAGAATTCAATTCTTTTTACTGTTCAAAATATTGGACAAAAATCTTGATACTTTATCTATTTCATGTACAAAATAAGTCGCGTCAGATCAAGCAAAAGATGAAGATTTTAATGCTATTTTTTATTCTACTTACTACAACAAAAACATGTACAGAACTTAGAAGCATTTAGTTATTTTGAACCGTTCTGGAAGATCAGTATAATGAGACAAATGACGACATGTGAATCTGGTAGACGAAGTTTATAATTGCGATATGTCCCACATATAACACATAGCAATTTCGTATTTGTGCAATGTTTCTTCTAAAAATGATTGAAAAATACTGGGTTCTTTCTATGATTTTGAAATTTGATTTTGTAGACCAAATGTTAAAATTTTGAAATATAACTAATTCAATATTTTACGCAAGCATAAATTATGAAAATGTGTAAAGTCCTTGAAAATATTTATAGAGTTTTAAAGTCGATATTTTTATAATTAAACAAATTTAAGCAATAAAATTTATTTAGTTAACCATGAGAAACTTGAATAATCATTGATTTTTTGAATAAGCAGAGCAGTTTTACTAAAATATACTTACTAAAAGCTGATCGATCGTCGTTTTAAAAGATTTTTCTATTTTTACAAGCATCGTTGTTCATGTACAAAATTTGCCAAGTCTAATATTTTTTGTTCAGTAGCATAATGAAATTACGGGTTTGTTTGTGTAATCTATGAATAATTAGACCTTTATTACATAGCTCTGTTATTCGAATGAAATTAAGCGATACATACAAGAATCAACACCATTGGCTATTTTTGAATTACAGCAACTTACAAATATCATACTACACTTATCAAGTTTGTCATTTATCGGTTGTTGAACAAGTTATCTTATGAAAAAATTACGTAGAATCAAACACATGGAAGATTTAAGAACTTATCTTTGATAGTGATAGTGGTTAGTTAAAAAAATTTAATTAATATTCATCTTTCAAAGGGCCAACTATTTTTAATTGATATTTATAGATAATGTATTTCAGTAGGCTATTGATGCTTCACGCATAAAACACAACATTCAATGTCAATGTCAAGAAGACAGTTTTTCAATTCTTGGTTTGCTCAAATGCAACCAAAGATGTAAATATTGAGCTATACAGAAATTTTTTTCAACAAAAATCCATGTAATGACGAAAAAAATGCGATCTCTTCTAATTAGGAATTATTTTGGGCCTTACAATACCTTAAGGATTAAAAACTTTCTCAGAGTACGTATTCATGTCCGAACTGATATAATAAAATTTTGGAGAGACATGCCCCCACCCCGTCTCTCCCACTCCTCGAAAAACTCACCAAAAAGTATAAAAATTGCTGATATATTTAAGCGTGATGCTATTTTCAGAAAAATTTGTGATACTTCGCGTTTCTATGAGTTAATTTTAACTTTTTATTCGCGCCGAAAAATTCACACTTTTATACATACACTCATACTGGAAGAAATTCCAATTTGATGTGAATGAGAAATGATTTGAAAATGTGGAAACACACTTGCGGGCATATTGCTAGGTTGGCGGAAATTTGAGATTTTTTAAATATAAAATGCCACGATATAGTGTCGAGTCTCGAACTTTTGCACACGGTTCATTGAGCTTTTTTTATCTGTAAATTGGCAATGCACCTTGAAAAAATTTGCAAAGAAAATTTGAACTTGTTATCTTAAATGAGATTCAATATTAAAAGTTTTCTAAAGACGTTAGTTAATCATCAAATTTCAAAAGTCAAATGTATTTATTGCTGCATACGTATTGCTTGGTAGGGTCGAAAGTAATGGATCGAGGCGAACCCAGCTAATAAATCGACTCGAATTAAATGACGATCAGTTCAGGTTATTGCTCTTTGGCATTTTTACATAATGATGATACATCGAAAATTTTGTACAGAACTTTTAATTGTTAGCATTAAATATAAATCATAAATTTGCGAATGTCAAAAATCCTTTAGTAAGTTATAAGTATAAGTTTAGGTCGAATGTAAAAGGTCAAGATAGCTTTGGGTCGTCGCGTGTGATCCACGTCGAGTTCAGAGCAAATAAACATACCACACACGGCAGTGGTGTATATAAGTCGGTTATTATAATCACTTTGAGCTTGCATCGAGCTTGCGCGCGTCTCGCTGAATCTAAATCGGTCGACAGAAAAGGGGCTTTCGAAATCCGGCCACAGCACAGCAGGCCTACCAGTAGACTGTACACATATACTATATGTACAAGCTCGTCGCGCGTATACAGCCGACCATGGCCACGTCCGATCATCGGACCGAAATAACGCCTATATAAAAGTCAAACTGGCGATAACGCGAACTCAACCAATCTGAACTTTTTTTTGCGCAAAAAATTGTCTTGATTTCGCGCTTTCAATGGCTTTCATGAGAACATATGCTGAATTAAGTGCATGTTTATTTTCATAATCACATGTCAACGTTTCGAAGGTGCTCATCTAGTTTTTCGTACTCGTTTCGTTGTTTTAAAGTAAGCAGAATCGTATGTGTCAGCTCTTAATAATTTTTTGTGGACTATAATGTAGTTTCAAGTATAGATTATTTAATCGAATAAAGCTATCGGCTTACAAAAAATGTTATCATTGGAACTGTCAAGACCAACACGAGTAAACTTTACTCATTTCTCCTTTTTTCTCTCTCGCTCTTTCTTTATTTCTATTTTCTACTTCTGCACGTGCGTCGTTGCAGCCTCTTCTACCATTATAAATGACGAGCGATCGGCTCGGCCAAGTGCACGTCGGGCTTAATCAAGTCCATTTCCCTTACGATCGATTCTATACCTGTTTCTCATTATTTTAAGGTCTGTACGGACTCTTTCAGGCATAACAGTAGTACAAATGATTTAGGGTATCTCGATTGATCTACTTTTAGCCTTTCCGAATCTTCGGCTTTTATAATGTAGATGCATCGGGGTATTAGAGAACGACGTATTTAGAGCTCATTTGGCCAAATAGCAACTCTCAAGTACAAATGCAGCCAGCCTGCCGCTGCAACTGCAGAATAAAGTCATCGGCAGTTTAGCAGGCTCTGCTTCGCGTCACGGAGCACTAGACCGTTTTTCATTGTGCCGTTATACTCCCGAGCAACATAGAAAAATAATAATAAATAAAAAAAAACGTCAAATATAGTAACGTGTGTTAATCATGTATAAAAATGTTGCCCTAAAATAGAATAAAAGTGGGTGGAGGTGTGCGTTCGCCGCTCCAGTCGACCATTCAAGTGTACGGCTAACTTTTTACGCAATCGACGAGATATGCGCCTTAATTGAATCTAATTAATGCTAAAAAATGACGATGGTGACGATCTCTCGTGCGTGCGCGTGTGCTTTATTTTTTTTTTGCATAACGTCATAATGTGCAGGTGAGGCTGACGTTCGGGGAGGCTCTTGTTTGAATGTATAGAAAAATCGAAAAATGGTGTTACACGATCGACAGTAAGTCCAGCCAGAAAGTGATTGTTCCGTTTGCCAAAAATTTGCTTGAAATGTGAGCAGGTCAAGAAAGAGACTGTGAAAGAACAGCAAGTGTCATTATGGGTCTCCAGCTGTCGGTACTGCTCGGTTGTATTGGCGCCGTAGAGCTGATCGCCTGCCTCAAGCACGTGACGGTTTGCGTGCTGAATGTCAACAACGAGGAGAGCTCGAGCTGCAGCATCGACTACTTTCATCGAGCCAAGGTATTCGACGACGGCTTTGTTTTGCTCGATAAGCCTCCGCTGAACAAGAGGCCGCAGAACAAAAGCTGCAAGGAGATCGAGGCCATTCTCAAACGCAACCGCTCCGATCCGGATATTCTGTGCATAGGCCCAGTGACGGCTGATGAATATGTGCGCGTGCCCAGCCCATTGGCGTTTGGCGTGGACGACGTCGAGATCTTCGGCGAATCATCGGACGCTTGCTCGTCGCTCCTCGAATCGAGCAACGAGAGCTCCGTGATAATGTCGCGAAAATCAAACGACGCCTGCTTGACCGTACCCCCGGCGAGATGCGCGCGCTCCTCCACCGACGTCTCGTCGCTCGCCGATGACGTTGACGCGGCAGCTGCTAAAAACAAACTGGCCGTGCCAAAAAAGCTCGCGAGACGTTCAAGGACTCCCGAAGCCCGTCTAGGCTTCGACGATTATGGTCAAAATGTGGAAATAGCCGAGGAGAGTCAGCCAAAAAGAAAGTCAACGAGAACCGTCATGACCCAGTCGAAACGAACTTTTCGACCCAAGTCAGATTTGATGAAATCAGCCGAGAATCTCGCGAGCTCGCGAAGGTTGACGAAGCGTCAGCGTGAACCCGAGCGCTGCAAGTCCGAGATCCAATTGAGACCGGTACGCGACGAGTGGACCAACACGTCTCCCTACAATAGCGACACCAACAGCTGCGCTGCGCTGCGCTCGACGTCCAAGCCAAACATATCGGTACTTATACAGACGAGCTTCGACGATAAAGCTCGCTACTCCGAGAGTTGTAAGGCGCAGAACGTATGTTCCAATTGCCTGTGTCAAAAGTCCCCGGCTAAACAGCCCGGGGCTTGCAGCAACGTCGAAAAGAAACGAACGCCGCTCAAAGTATCGAGTTTCGAAGAGGCCTCCGACGACGATTACTCTAAAGTAGTCCAACTGATGAGAAAGAGGAAGAAAGATGCGGGAGAAAATTATGGCAAATCACCGATTGAGAGTAATGAATCCTACGATGATGAGTACTTGGATGCTAACGAAGGGGCCCCAACGTCCACCGACGCTGCCATACAGTTCAACATTCCCGATCATTCTGCTAATCAATCCTTTTGGGTAGGGTAATTCAACCCTCTGGTCTGAGCTAGCGTAGAAACAAAATCCGATGTATAACGGGAATAGATATACATGCTATATAGATGCATGAATGAAAAATAGATAATATAGCCGTAGTGGAATAGTACTTGTTTGTGTATGTATGTGCGTTGACCTGCGTTGTAATACGTAATAAATGTGATTAAATACGTTCCATTGAAATTTTTACAACACTTGCTTATAGCGCATGTTTTTCTCCTCATTTTACTAAAGCTGCATAAAAATTATACTTCTAAGATGTCAATGAACATTCATTTCTATCGCATAATATTTCATCTTAAAATTAAGATTAATGAATAATAAATGTTATATGAAACGTAAGAAATTATATAGCCAAAGGCAAATTAAACGTATCATTTGAAGTTATGAATTAAAACATTGTATAATTGACGCACCCGATGTCAGTAAAGCATGAGAAAAGTTTGACTTGAAATTATACTTAAATAGATTTTCACGAATTTTCACTGATTCTTTGGCCAAGCTAACAAAACTTTCTTCTGATATTTGTACTGAAGTGTAAAAGAGATTTTTGTAAATTATAAATCTTTCGGTTGAGAGCGGTCTTATAAAAGTTCTGTACATTAAATATAGTAATTTTCATAATCAAACGCGAACGTCATTGAAAAACTATTCATCTCCGAATGAAAAAGATGAATAACATAATTTTCAATTAATTGCGTCACGCCTTTATAAAACGTCAATTCGTTATCAGTGGATGCTCGATTATAAAGTTTTGGTACAAAAAGTGACCTCGCCAAAGAATCTCTCGCAATCGAAGCTTTGTAGCAATCTCGTGCGGTGGGCGCGTAAGCGTAACGCGTGCGCTCATTGGTGTCGTGTGCCACTCGCGTGCGTGCGTCGCGTCTCCAAAAATATCAATCTCAAGCTCCTTACCCGTGATCTTGTTGTGCGGCTACGAGATCGATATGAACACACTTCTCCACTGATCGACAAGTCGTGTTCAACATATTTTTCAATCTAAAAGCTCTTTTATAGAAAATACTTATGCAGCTGATTGATTAGAATTTCACGGGAGATGTGAATCGAACAAACACACAGAAGGTCCTGTTGATTATCCGGTATCATTTAGATAAAAATGATTTTCGTTCATGTAATTTAAACGGGTTCGAAATACTTAGTTTCACTAACCTCTTTAAGCCAATTGCGTAGCTAAAAAATACCCGTTAGAAGTCTAGTTTAGTTGCCCTTGGCACCAAACGTTATGTTTCCGTGGCACTTCGACAGTTCTTCCAAGTTATCAATTATAAAAGTAAAATCTAGGTGAAACGTCAAGACGTTACTCTAGCTTGACACTATGATAAACGTCGTTTTTCCATTTAATTAAGAATTAGTGAAAATTGTAGGATCTAGTAACTTCTCAGCTTAGATTTTAAAAGCCTCGCGAGTAAGATTTTTACGAGAAAATCGTTTTCAAATATAGACGAAGTCTCGTATATTTTTCGCCTTGCGACTGCCTCTTTCTTGAACGCGAATTTCGAATTTCTGTCTTTGACGAATGAAAAACGTCATGACTCGTAAACATCTTTATAAAATGAACATTTTTTCACTTTATTCCCGTGGAAAATTATTATTGGCGATGCGAATCCGAGCATTCCTAACCCAATTTGTTCGTGTGGACTGGAAGACACTTGCACACGACCCGACTTTCCTTAACTTATTCGATTTTGACCGTACTCCGCAGATTCTATTTTTCTTTGGGAACCACCTGTACTTGGCCCGATGCCGTCAGATTTTTCGACTATTTCTCTCTCTCTCTCTCTCTCTCTCTCTCTCTTGCTCTCCCTCTTTCTCCCCTTTTTTGGTATTTTAAATTTATTCAGTCGAACACTTTTAAATGCTTTGTTTATTTAATCTAATTATTGTCTACGTTGTTTTCAATACATTTTACCGAATATTAACTAAAATATTTATTTAACATTACAATTATCATCGATGGATGTATCTATGTGATATTTAAAACTATTAGTATAAATATTTGTTCAAGAAATTTAGGTGAATTTTCATGAAACAAAGTGTACATAAAAAGTTTTTAGTTTGAGAAAAGCTCAATTTAAACGTTGTTAAAAGTTCGATAAAAGTTCGCAAATCAAATCAATTTATACGTTTAATAAAGCCAATGCACTAATGGCTCGATGAGGAATAACGAGAGATTATAGCAATATGTGTCAAATAAAAAAGTATGCAAAATTACAATTTAAGTTGAAAAGTGCCTAGAGTAGAGCGCGAATTCCAAAAATATAACGCTGTTCCAACGATCAAAGGCGACGGGCGCGTGGGGGCCACGCGCTATATAGTCGAACTTGCGGAAAAGTTATACGCGAAAGCTCCGACTGCACACGGCACGCTCGAACACATCGATAAAAGTTAAAACTCGCGTGTGCCAGACCGCACATGTCTGCGTAAGCGCGCGCGTATCTGTGTGCGTATGACACGATGATGATCACGATGATGATGATGATGATTATGAAGATGACGAGCTCTGGTCCAAAATAACAATATTACCGAATCATGAGCATCGATACATGTGATGTAATATTGCTATAGCGGTTTCTATAGTTTTTTTCTCGTGTTAGGCTTGAGGTGCTGTGTATACATTTTTTTTACCTTATCCACGCGAAAAGCAAAACGCGTTAGCCATTTTTATGACTCAGCCAATTAGGAACACACCAAACTCGATTTTTCGATCAAGATGATATTTTATGGGTTCGCATCCGGAAAATCAATCGAAATTAGATATTTTGATAAATCGTTATTTTTATCCGCTCAAAAACATGTTTTCATTTTCTTTGCTTTTCTAGATTCGTAAATAATTCATCCGTTTCTACGTGTATTCAAAATGTTTGCCGAAAGCGCGCATGTGTAATGATCAATGGATTCGAGTCGTGAATATCGTTTGTTTTTTGTACATCGCATTTACACAGCACACGTAGCGTTTCCTGCGATTTAAATGCAAGTTCATACTGTTTATTTTGCCAAATAGTTAATGGTCGCGAACGCAGTTGCAAACAAATTTGTGAATTTCAAATTTTAGTTTTGCGGAAAGAAAGTCAGAAATGAAACTTGGCGCATTGGATTTGTTCGTTATTACTTTTTGGATCTGAGAACACATTGAGTTATACAAGAGTATGCATTCAGATTAAATATATCTTACTAATGAGGAAAGAGGAAATAGTAAAAAAATGGTCCTATTGTTCACACTCACAAATTTAATGAAAATACAAAACAGAAATTTAATGTGCTTGATCAAAAACTCGAATGGTCTAGAGTGAGATTGATTTTTCTATATTTTTCACTATTCGACGTAATTTGGTAAATGCTGGAAATCGTCGCATTCTAGAAAATTAAGCTTTAAAAAAAGTCGAATGCTTGTTCTTACACCAGCTGGGAAACTTTAGTTTAAGAACATATGGTGTGCTTTCCACCAAGTATTATTAGAACTTGAAAACGTGAAAAAAGTTTTATCTGAATGTCCATTTTCTTGGATTTCTTGGGGTGGCGCCTGCAAACGAAAAATGTCCATAAAAATAATAACTGTGGCTGTAAAGTATCGGGTAAAAAGAAAATGAAAAGATGAAGAAGATGAAGAAGATGAAGAAGACGAAGAAGACGAAGAAGACGAAGAACAAGAGGAAGTTGTGAATTGTAGAAGGGATAGAGGCGAGTTTGCAGCACAGCTACGCCTTGTGTGTACTTTTACAATGTGCAAAAGCAAGACAGAATGGCGAACACATGGAGGGGAGATATAGAGAGCGAGAGTTTGCTCACTCTTTCTCTCTCTCTCTCTCTTTCTCTCTCGTTCTGGAGAGGAGATTCTGTATTATATGCGTGTGTATGCGTATTCAGCGGTTCGCCAAAAATAACTCTCTTTCTCTCTCTTTTGCTCCAAGTCCGAGTAAGAACAGCCTATGGAGATGACGACCCAGAAGAAATCCTAGATCGTCGTCAGTCAGTCGACAATCGTCGAGAAAGCAACGTGCGCGACACGCAGAGGCAGACGATAATTCAAATTGTGTACACCGCCAGCCACGGTGTTGTTTGTATAGAATAAAGCGAGCGAAGGACAGAGTAATATCGTCTCATTATGGCGGACGTAGACAGCAGTGTAGTGTTCACGACGACCAGTACCGAGCGCAAAACGCGAAAAGTGAAGAAGACGACCAAGCGCAGGGAGAGCAGCGACCAGAATGCCTCCGAGGTCACGATCACGGAGCTCGACACTACCCAATCGAGCAATAACAATAATCAGAACGTCAGCGGCGCCATCGACGAGTATGTGCTGGCTGGGATATTCCAATGCTGCTGCTTCTCCTTCTTATTTTTCAATAAATTATTCACTTTTTATTTGATGATGGTTTTGTTTATGAGTTTGTTCCGCGCTTTTATTAAGGTGTCACGCGTTAGAGACAGAGAAAAAGAGAGGAAAAAAATGGCACGCGACTCGGAGCCGCTTGATTTTTTAAATGGCCCGCCTGATTAAGGTAGGCGCGCTATCATTCGATTCATTGCGAACACTCGTTAATGGATGTTTCGTGCGTGCTTTTAGTGAACGTCTGAGAAATGAAAATTCAAGTGACTTTTTTCATATGAGTGCTCAATTTCACGTAAAAAAGTGTGTCTCGTTCAAGTGCATTATAATGTACAAAAACACAAAAGTACACATGAATTTTGATTCAACTAAATTGATAAAAGAAGAGTCATTTTATACCGATGAAATAATCTGGCCAGTAAAATCGCCAGTAAAAGTATAATATCTACAAAAAGTTAACAAAGCATCATCAAAATAAAAGTGTCAAAAAACATGTAGAAAAACCTTTGAGAACAATGTTTTATACATATCATTAAAAAGTTGTTTGAACCCCCACTCCTTTTCGCGAGCATGTAGCACTTGTTAAAAAGAACTAATTATAATAGTACAGTAGTCGAAACTTTATAAGTAGCTCATTTTAATGATTGAGGCACAAATATATTTTCGCTGAATATTCATTTCACATGTCAAATAATAAAACAAGCTCAGCCAGCACATACACAGCACTAAACTAAGGTACATACTTCAAGACAATGTTATAATATATATTTGAATCAACTCTACAATAGCCACTCCGTATATACCAAAAAATATAAATTGCAAAGAAAGTCTTTCATAATTACTTGACCACTGACCCTACAAATGCATCCAAGTTAACATGCAATAAAATTACTATTTAGTTTAAGCTTGTGAAAAGAAGTTTAACTTCATAATTATACTTTTTAATATTATAGACGAAATGTGATTTTTTTGCAATTATTTCACTACTTAAGTGATCTTGGATAAACTTGTCAAAACATAAAATCAAAAGTCAGTTATACTAGAACCACGATTAAATATGAACAAAAAATATATAAGTCAACTATACATGCAAGTATGAAGCACTGACCAAGTTTACAGAAAACAATGATGTACTAAATAATTGCATTATATAAAAATTCCACCAGTATCTAATGATGTTATACTGGTTTCATCAATATGTAAATATATGTCACCTCCTTAATTTTGCCCCTCAATAATTAGTGTGTCCCCTTTCAATAAAAATGTCCTCGTAAAAAATTGACAAGATTAAATGTGAAGTTCCGGTAAGCCGGGAAACTTTCCTGAAAGTCCATCTCGAGAGCGAGTATTTGTCCCTCTTTATGCAATGGGTGAAATAGCATTTGAGTAATTAATGGTCGTTTTTACAGTTGATTTTCAGTGGCGAGTACACGAAAGCAATGAACAAGGACTGGCATAGCGGCCACTTCTGCTGCTGGCAGTGCGACGAATCGCTGACAGGTCAGCGTTACGTCCTGAGAGACGAGCATCCCTACTGCATCAAGTGCTACGAGAGCGTATTCGCCAACAATTGCGAGGAGTGCCACAAAATCATTGGCATTGACTCTAAGGTACGATTGCTCTTGTTTTCATATTTTTTTCTTTGCCCGTGGCTTGATTCCTCGTGCCTAAGAGTATTTTTAAAAACGATGATACGTGTTACGCGTTCGCGCGAATAACATTGTAACGTAATCCATGGACTGTTTATTATTTCTGGCTCAGCCGTATGGCGGCTGTACGCCGGCCCGTGTCGCAAGCTTTATGCCAGCCGTCGAACTTTCGAGTGTCCCTCTTTTCTTCGGGCTATATGCGAGTATGCACACTTATGATTTTCAAGCTTGCGAAGCTGCACGCGCGCCATGCTCCGAAATCCAAGAATAGCGGAAAGTCGCGCCGACTATTCTCGACGTGCGTGCGCTCGCGACGCTGATCCAGCGATCTCGTTTTTCTATCCGAACGATACTCTTCGCAAGCCGCTCCTGATGATCATTTTCCAACTATTAAATAAATTCTTATTCAAATTCATATCCAACCAAGTTTTTTCTACGTGAAAGTCTCTTATCTGGATTATTTGAATTGTTAGCGGATTTTTAGTTTATCATGAGTGAGCTTCGACAACAATTTTTATCAAACCAAACTTCAAGGCATCATCTGGAAATATCAAATTGATTTACACCAAATAGAGATAACTCTTACGTAGTTCAGTTCAACATTTTCAGTAATTCGCGAAATGTCGTGCCAGTTATAAGAACATCCATATGCTCATTCCTAGAAATAGCATTCCTGTACTCGTAGCCGCATTTGACTTGATAATTTTTTCGCAAACTTTATACTATTTTCGTGAAACTTGTACTCTAATAAAAATCGAATAATTGTAAATTGCCAAAAAATGTAACTGCTGCACTAAAATATTTCAGCTGGTTTTGAAATAATTTTAAAAACAAACTATTGAAACGGTTTTTATTGTAGAAACGTGTTACCAATATTTTATTTCTAAAATTAATACTGTGAGTACTACTTCCGATCTCTATTATAAAAGTAAATACGATAATTTCGGAAATTTGCAAAAAAACGTGTGCGAAAACAGTTTCGTTCTAAATTCTTTCACATTTTTTCAGACCCTCAAAATTACAAAATTCTAATAATATGTATTACACAGGATTTGTCATACAAAGATAAGCATTGGCACGAGGCTTGCTTTCTCTGCAGTCGTTGCAGAGCATCTTTGGTGGACAAACAGTTTGGCAGTAAAGTAGATAAGATTTATTGTGGCAACTGCTATGACTCCCAATTTGCGAGTCGTTGCGATGGATGCGGCGATGTTTTCCGTGCTGGTACGTATTTATTATTCCATGTAACATTTTTCAAAAGTATATATCTATTTTATTCGTTGCATTGCTGTGTGATATGCATTTAACTGAATATTGTCAAATTTTAAAAAGCAACATGAATTATACAACTATGATGTGGGTACTAAATTATACTTATTATCAACTCAAGGTCACGCTAGTTAACCTATGAAAGAAATGTTATTATTTTCTATAATATGGTAAATTGTGTACGAATATATTCTGGCGAACAAAACGTACACAATTAATAGAGTTTTTTTTTTAATGTCTTGATGTATTAGAGAAATTTTGTTAATGCGCGCAGAAATATAAAGGTCCCTGAAATATATGTGTCTCTGATAGATTACTAATTTTTCTACAACGCTTCATTATTACTTTTATTAAAAATCTCTTCATTTATTTCTTATCTTGAAGAAACACGAAGTGCTTGAATTGTAAAACATTTTATGGAACTAATTTATTTTAAAACTAGAAAGAGCACAATTATAATATGAGATTGAAAAATGCCACACCTGTAAGAAGTCAAAATTGTAACTATCAAACATTAAAATGCTTTTGCGCACTAAAAGTATTTGAGACGTGAAGAGAGTGCTTACATCAAATATATTTGAATAATAATAATCTATACTGTCCGTAAATTTATTAATTTTTTGGCGATTTCTTAAACGAAAAATCTTCTTTAACATCATCTCGAAGTATTAAATAATTTTCAAATCTATTACCTGGAAAATGACATGGATCTGTTTATGTTTTTAAAAAGGTGCATTAATTAATTGGGTAAATGGAGAAATTCACAAAATTATAATCTTTTGGCTGTCGCGTAAACGTGAAGTGTGTTAAAATGTGTATCATAAATATTCAAGAGAGTATCTCGAATTTTACACGTGCGCACAGAATATGGTTCACGAATTCAGCGTCCGTTTCCGCAAAATTAAATAAGCTTCAAAATTACCTATCAGAACGCTAATTAAACGAAGGTTATACAATATGTGGGTGCGCTGATATTGCGTACTCAAATAATTAATACGAGAAAAAAAGACCGCGAGGTTCAATAAAATTTTGTTCAAATATATCAGTTAGATTAATTGATTAATCCCAGTTCATCGCCCATACGTATGACTCAATTGTTCCCCCGCTCGTATTTCACCATTAAAACAAAAACAGCTTGGCCTTCAGCTCTATTACATTTCATTAGATAATCGATAAATTGTCTTTCAATGAACTTGAGCAACTCCAAATACGGACTATCGAATGCCCATTTTAAAAATTACTTCTACGTTAGCTCCCCCCTTCAATTAATCGGTGGTAGGAGTCGGGTGATTTTATTAGACGGATAAAGGCTTTTTACATGGTAAATTAAAGGCAACTTGTTTTTGTTGTACCCTCTTCTCATCCCGGAAGTTTTAATGTGGTCGAAGGAGTAGGATCGCGTACAAAGAGAACTGGAAGCCTATGAAGCAATGGTTATTTGGATAAGATACACAGTGTTCCGCGTGACTCCAGACCAATAGCTTGACTCGAACGAATAATAAGCTGCACTGAAGCTTCGAGTGTAGACTTGAATTGTTAGTTCAAATTTTCGAGTGTCGCGAATTAGCCCTAATACTTTAAAAGAATTAAGTTTTAAAAACCATGGCCTGGATCACGAGTCCCCGACCGCGCGTTACCGTGGTTGATAGTCTAAACGATCGGCTGACAAATCGCCTAAAAATCCGCTCGCCAACGCCGACGATCAAGCGGCCGATCTATCAACATTTGCATCATCACCACTGCTCTGGCTGCAGCGAGCGCAAATTGAATTTTGCTCGCCAAAGCGGCAGCGAAACGGACATCGCCGTTATTAGCACGATTCCTCTGCAGGGCGATGCTTTGTTTCGCTGCAGCAAGGGTATCTTTTGTCGCATGGGCGATTGGAGATACGCCGAGCCAGGTGATTTTTATCCTCGATCCTTTCTATAAGCTTCGTTTATAAATGTCTTTCCTAAAATAGTATGCCAGTAAATATTAACGGAAATGAGAGAAAATCACAAAGAAAACTCTCATCAACTTTTAAATTTCATTCAAAAAATATACACTTGCACCAGCACATTGGATATAATATTATCAATCGATTGATTAATAAATATAAAATTAATATAAGTTTCGAAGTGAAACGTTATATTGATCATCATTATTGTTATTAAAAGCAAACATATTGAGTTTGACATAAATCACTCAATAAATAATACAAATATAATACAATAAAAACCAATTATAAAAAACTGCATAAAATAAAACGACTTTAGCCACGCTCTGTAGCAACGCATTCTTAACTTTTAAGTCAATAACAATTTTTTCCACTCTAATTAAAGGTACCAAAAAGATGGAGTATAAGACCAGACAATGGCACGAAAAATGCTTCTGCTGTGTCGTCTGCAAGACGCCCATCGGCACCAAGAGCTTCATCCCACGTGAGCAAGAAATCTACTGCGCTGGATGCTATGAAGACAAATTCGCTACCCGTTGCATCAAGTGCAATAAGGTAAGACAATATTTTTGGAAAATAAATTAATGACTTGGAAAATTGTAAACTAAAACTTTCTTTCGTTTTGGCACCAGATCATCACTAGCGGAGGTGTGACATACAAGAACGAGCCATGGCACAGAGATTGCTTCACCTGCACTCACTGCAATCAATCACTCGCCGGCCAAAGATTTACATCTCGCGACGAGAAGCCCTACTGCGCCGAATGTTTCGGCGAGTTGTTCGCCAAGAGGTGTACTTCGTGCACAAAACCAATTACCGGTGAGTGTCTAAAAATTGGTCCAGTGACTGGCTTTGCTCAGTCGTCTGGTTTTTTTCTTCGAATTGTAAAATGATCACGGATTTTTTTGCTTTGACATGCACACAGGCATCGGCGGTACGCGCTTCATCTCTTTCGAAGACAGACACTGGCACAACGATTGCTTCATTTGTGCTGGATGCAATACCTCTCTCGTGGGACGTGGATTCATCACCGACGCCGAAGACATCATCTGTCCAGAGTGCGCCAAGCAAAAGCTCTCATAAATCAACCACTAAATTATGTATGATTTGAGCTAACAACAACGGCAGTATCAACAACAAGTTTTAAACGATTTGAGATGATATTTTCAAAAGCACAATGTTATCATCGAATGGACACGGTTCACTAAACGTAACTCTAGCTGTAAATGACAACACTTCTTTTCCTTGAAAATAACATTTTATATCAACATTGTCTTCTGGTGGTACATCGATTTTACTGACGATGGTCAGTTGCTTCAATAAAATCATGATGATAAAATCACCATTTAAATAATATTCTATTACTTAACAGCTCGACTGAACTTGAATTATTGCATGCAAGTTCCTTTTGAGTCCAAGCAAATGCTATTATCAATTTTAAAGCAGGATTTCTGTTATCATTGCATTAATTCATGCCTAAAAAAATTGTCATAAACGTTTCAGTTTAATATATAAGCAATGACAAAGTATGAATAAACGTCAATGAGATGCAACAATCAGTCAGAGCTTCGTTTAGAACCACAACATCGTTACATAAAATTAGAAAAATGTTTAAAAAACATTAAAAGTAATACATATTTACTAATTGTGCGGCTCTACTTAAAATATTGTCGAATTTTCGAACAACGAGAACTTTAATAACGCTAACGAAAAATAAAAAAGAATTAAGTTGACTAGCAACAGGTGCTGTTGCGATGTTTTTATTCATTAATATATAATAATGTTGTTTTCCTGCTTTGTATACATAAATATATAGACAAAATAAAAATAATTATTTATTAATACGCTATAAAATATATACAACAGAAGTTTATAAATATCCATGTAGTTACTCTATTTTTATGTATCAACAACTAAAACGAATAAAAAATTATGCAGATATTTTCAACGCGCACAGGAATCATTTTAATTCACGCGAAAATATATCGCAGTTGGATTGTATGGGTAATGCTCATTTTGTGGAATATGTTTATTGCTTCTATAAAAAGTGCAATGAGCCCACCTGTGTTACGCGTTGATTCTTTTAAACCTATTTTTTCGAAAGTGTTTTAAAATATATTGTTTTTCTTTCTTTTAAGAACTGCTTTGTTTTTGTTGTCCAATCGGGTGGAGCATTTCTAGATGAATGAAGAAAAATTTTAATTGAACATGCGCGTGGTAGCAGGTTTCTGAATGAATAATGACCTTTCGTTAATTGCAGACTTTCAAAAAAATTGTCTGCTACAAAACTAATGCCTTGCAAATGTAGTAAATTTATAATTATGTATAACATTATCGAGGAAATATCAAGGCACTCACAGCGAATAATTGAAAAAATTATATTTTAACTTGTTGTAGTGGCGCACCTGATACAGGCATAATACTCATTATGTATATCTTGATGTATTGTGAGATCTTGCAAAAATAAAGTTTATCGAGTATATGACAAGACCTATAAATTATGTTTTTAAAGACCATTGACTTAATTCTGAATATCACTTATTTATTGGTAGCATAATTTGAGACCAAAATAAATATTTATACCCTTCTTTTAATTATACCATTCAAAGCTGCACTTGAAAACTCAAATGTATAAGAATATAAATTAATTTTAAAAGTTCTTTTACAACTATAATTTTTACATTTTGTGAAGGCAAAGCCAATTGTAATGTTGTGTCGAATAAGTTACCAAATTTTCAATTCGACATGGATCACTCTCATAAAAACTAAATCAAAACGTGCACAATTCAGTCAATATAGTAAAATGATACTTATGACTATTCGGAGTACTGAACGTCAAAAATCACGTGGCTAAATCAAAAAGTTCGGGCTACTTGAAATAAATCGATCAACTCTACGTTACAAAAAATTAATTTCATTTGTCATAAAAACTAAAAATTATGTGAATGTAATAATGTAAATTATTTTTTCGCGATACACGAAACGAATTTTCGTAAGATTAAAATGAAAGAAGGTTGAAAAATTTTTTTAATTAAACTAGTACCATAACTCAATGTAAATATAAAATATAAATTTCACTCAGTGCAGCAATCGTGCCATCACACGAAATAGAACACGTTAATTTTAGTGACATGACCAACATTTTTAAGAGAGGAAATGATGGATACTTAAATTTGTGTACATATCAGATTTGACATTGCGTTTTCGTTTTGCTTTGTTTAAAAGACATCAAAAAAATATTGGATTTTCGAATTTAAAGATTTTTTACGAATAATCATGAAATATTAAATAACTATGCCGGATAATTTTGAAAAATATTGTTTTGCTTAATTTTTACAATTACAAATATATTTTCATACCAGCTGCCCGAAAGTGACTACTTCCGTGCCGCTGCGCAAAGCGGGAACTAATTACACGTACTCTGGGACTTTTCTTTTTTTTGCGGCCTAGGGCAGTAATATACTATATTTCTTTAATATCACATTTTTATCGCAAATTGGAAATTAATCATATTAGAATTGTTTTCCCAATAAAATCACTTGACCATGATTCTTAACAACTAAGTACCGTAACCCTTAATATATAATTTAAATTGATGACATGATTGTTGTCAGAGATGAAAATTTCGCTTATATAGAGCTTCCCACTTAAGGGGAGGTAGGGTCTTGACTAAATTTCAAAAAAAATTTTTTTTTTTGAACATATAGTAAATTGAATTGATTTATAAATCATACACATAATTAATAGTTATTTGAAGAATATTCAGTTAAATATTCAGCCCAAAACACTAAAAAATAAACGGCTACAGCAAATTTTCACATGCAACGTAAAAAAAATCCGGTGGACATCATTACTCAAAATCTACTCCACCGATCCACTTCATATTTTATACACTATTTAAGTAGATAATAGATGAGGTAATGACGTCGAGATAATTTAACTTTTTGCCTTCATTTTGTCAAAAAAGTCATTTTTTTCATTTCAAAATGAAGCCAAAAACTCACAAATTATTTTAAACGAAATATCTTGACGTCATTACCTCATAATTTGTGTAGATAAATAGTGAGAAAAATTTGGAAAGAATCGGTCGAGTAGATTTTCAGTTACAGTGTCCACCGTAATCGATCTCTTTTTTTCAGTTGTGTGAGAAAATTTGCTGTAGTTAGCTTATTTTTCACTATTTTTAGCTGAAAATTTAACTGAATGTTCTTCAAATAACCATTTATAGTCCAGTCCAGTTAGATCTGACTCTATGTTAAACGTGAAAAAATTCGCAACCGGCGTTTCTCACCGGGATTCGTTAGGGTTCGATGGTAGGAATGAAGTAATAACAAATGCCACAGTTGAGTCGATTGGAATTTCAACAATTGGGCCCTTTAAAATTAGGAAAATTGGTTTTTCGGCTACAGATTGAAAACCGTACATTTTATAAAAAAAAGTTTCAAGCAAAAGTTGTAGGTCCTTGCAAGACCTTCAATTTGACATATATAACATTGGAAATCGGTTCATTTGATTATAAAAAACGCCTCAATTGTCAATAACAACAAAAGGGACTTACAGACATCGCAAGAATATCTAAGTGGACTCAAATCAAAGATAACTACTTCTACTTTTGTAAAATAACATATTTTTATCATAGATTACAAAATAAGAAGTAATTATCTTTGATTTGAGTCCACTTAGATATTCTTGCGATGTCTGTAAGTCCCTTTTGTTGTTATTGACAATTGAGGCGTTTTTTATAATCAAATGAACCGATTTCCAATGTTATATATGTCAAATTGAAGGTCTTGCAAGGACCTACAACTTTTGCTTGAAACTTTTTTTTATAAAATGTACGGTTTTCAATCTGTAGCCGAAAAACCAATTTTCCTAATTTTAAAGGGCCCAATTGTTGAAATTCCAATCGACTCAACTGTGGCATTTGTTATTACTTCATTCCTACCATCGAACCCTAACGAATCCCGGTGAGAAACGCCGGTTGCGAATTTTTTCACGTTCAAAACTAATTTGACTGGACTATTATAATATTTATTTATAGATACATTGATTTTACTATGTGCTCAAAAAAAATTTTTTAAATGCAGCTCGCAAACCATCGAACAAGACCCCTCCCCTTAAGCAGCGATAAATATAATTCGTTTTGACGAAGACTAATAGAATTACACCTTCAAAAGTATAACTTCAGTAGAGTAAATTCTTATCTGGAATTCCTTTTAACAGGCTAAAATATGCTGAGGATAAAAGTATGGAAAAATTCTGAGTGCTCTACATCAGGAAAGTTAATTATCTAACGCGTAATTTGAATTTGCAAATAATATGCGTTGCTGCTTTACGCAATATATAAATTTTCATAATTAAAAGCTTTTTGGCTATTATTAATTAAATATACTTATTTAACAAATGACCCTAACAAACTTTCTTCAACTCAGTGGTTTAAAATACGAGACACTCCAGCGTTGATCTATGTTGGTGCGCCTTATCAGGATACAGCAAAATACATCGCACTTATTTTCCTCTTGCAGCTTGTTTATAAAGTCCTTCGTCAAGCGCTATTTAAAAGTTTACCTTGTCTCGACCGTATTTAGGTTCTCATTTTTTTGCGGCGTGGAAGCATCAAAATAGCATCATCAGCTAGCTAAGTGTACTAGTTTTCCATATACGTGTATAGGTATGGTACAGCGAGACACATCTAATCCTTTGAAACTCCTTTTTATTTTCGCTCGCGGCATCGTGGTTATCTTTTACGTCTACAAGCGGCGTGCATACGAATGCTGAGAAAAGATGAGTACATCCGACAAGTTTTAACATTTTCTGAAACGAGCAAATGCACCGTAATGTGGATCAAGAAGGATGTACAAATAATGTGATTACTCAAATGTACAAAAATATAAATCAAAATATTATTTTTTCAATGTAATTATGAAATTATTCATTCATATAATATAAGATTTTTCAAATAGAGTGCAATAACAGGATAAACTTGTAACCATTGGCTGAGTCAGTGTGAACAACTCGCTTTTTATATAAATCGTGAAATAATTTTTACATTAATTCTGAAAAAAGCCTAAATCCGAACGAACGGGTACGATTGGGGCGGGTTAACATCTCAAATTGTTCGGAATTGTGTACTTCTGAAATGGTCACACGCTGAGCGTTTATATTACGCTCCAGAGAATTTCATTTTTCCAGCGACCGTCATTGGCTCGTACATACGTGCTGCAGACGAATATATATTGTGGCTTTTCCTGCGAAGCATACGGTACATGGAAATTATTGCTGGAGCTTGGTCACGTACTATTTCGTCCGATTTGATGAATATTTGAAGCAGCTGCTGAACTGTGGATTCGATTTTATTCGCACATAAAGAGTCTTCACTGTGTGCGCAGCTTGCTTCTGCATTATAATATTTATCGATGCTTGGGTGCTTTTAATTGAAAAAAATATCATAAATGTTGTATTTATATCTCTGAATTTTTGTGATATACTTCTTATAGATTATTTTTACCTTAAAGTATAAAATTCTTGGTCGAAACTTTCCGAGCAATATATTCTTGCGTGATCTACATACTTGTACGGTACTTCTACTTCTCAGTTATATTGTATTTTTCCTAGCTCTCCTGTTAAATTTTACATTACATGCGATTGATTGCTTAAGGGCTCAAAGAGGGCTTAAATAATTTTATATTTCTATTTATAGCATTAGGCTGAAACAGTGAAAAAAATTTTTTTTCAGAAAACAGGCATAAGAGCCTTTTTCAATACCTTATGTGAAAGTACTTTGTCCAGTTACATACTTAGAAAAACTTAAATTAACTGGTATAAATCTATAAACCTTCAGCGATAAGTATTTGTCGTCTCTAAGCTGCCTGCCGTAGGTTTTCAAGTGTTTGCATGACACAATTGAGTTGTATGTAGTTTCATTTTGTTTGATGGATCGTTGGCCATCAACGCAACCTCAAGCTAAGCATAAAATCAACTTTGACTACTTCCACAAACAATTTAATAGAATATTTTGTTCATCAATGATTATTTTTGATGAGTTTTAATAAAATATTCTATTAAATTTATGTGGAAGTAGTCAAAGTTGATCTTATATTTAGCTTAAGGTTGCATTGATGGCCAATGATCCATTAAACAAAATGAAATTACATACAACTCAACTTTTTTCACTTTTTCAGCTTAATACTACAAATAGAAATATAAAATTATTCAAGCCCCCTTTGGGCCCTTAAGAGCTAAATTTAAAAAATTGTTATATTTGCAGTACTACACGGTAAAAGCTAAAAAAATGTAAAAACACCTTTGTCAATTTCTAGAATTGAAAGTGCTTTATCCATTTAGATACATAAGAATATTTATATACATTGTTATAATACTATAAACCATTATAGCGATGCTATAAGTATTTTACACATTTAAGCTGCTTTTCGTAGAATTTCAAATCATCGTTAGTTTAATTTTAAAAGGTCTTAATTTGTTCGATTTTAAAAGTATC